GTGAACACAAATTAGTTAGCATAAATCAGTTAAATGACGAAACATTTGGTGTCTATTTACTTGTGACCACTCGGTGTACATTTATATTAAGGCGTTTTCATTACACAGTCTCAAAACTTTTATAAGTAAAGTATATTCAATTTGCTGTACTGATGGCCAGGTTGATTTTTAGCTTATCTTTTAAGTGCATATCTTACTCTGATCGGAAGTTACTGTTATTAACGTCACTTGATGAAGAGCGTAACGATAAAGCTTTAAACTTCTCGTAATGATAAGAACACTAATGTCGAAACCGTATGCGATTTTATACGATTTGGATATTCTACTGTATTTCTACTTAGCAAACTGTAAAACTGATACATTTAACTTTGCTAATTTATCTTTAATTTATGACTGTAATGTTTTAGGTGTTAGTATAAAAAATATGTTGTAAATTAACACAACATAGTGTTATTTCACAACAGCACCATTTACGTTCCCGAAACACAGACTTGGGTTAACAATAACAGTTGATTGTTGTAGTAGCGACATTAACGAACAAGTTTTACCAGTTTTTTAAGGATACAAATGTTGCGCTGCTTTCAGTTCAAAATTGTGTTTAGATACATTGGAGTGTTTTAATAGTACCATTTTTTACGTCTATGTATAAAGCTCAACACAAGGCTTGTGCATTAGCAAACATATTTGTGTTCTGTTTTCTTAGCTAGCACTGGCCCCCCAGTGACACAGCGGTTATGTCTGCGGACTTACAACGCTAGAAATCGGGTTTCGATACCCGTGGTGGGCAGAGCACAGATAGCCCTTGTGTAGCTTTGTGCATAATTAAAAACAAAACAAAAGCTAGCACTGATTGTGTTTATTTCAACTTGAAATTATTTTGTCACCTTTCAAACACCAAATTTGTGTACAGAATACAAGTTGTGTTCTTTTTTTACACTATAAGTGTTGTAAAACTGATATTAATTGCATGACCTAGATTGATTAGGAAGAACACGAGTTTCGGATTTCCTCAGCTTTAAGTTTAACAATATTTTGTATCGTCGTTTCACAATGACGAACTGTGAACTGTGAAATGAAACGTCTAAGAGACGTTTCACACTGATCTCTAGTTTGCACCGAAGCTTTTTCTTTTTTTTTTTCTGTCGTTGATTTGTGCGTGTAGGTATGGTTCGAGTTCTAATAAGGCAATGTTCACAGCATTCCCTACATACCTGAGCTTTTAAGCCAAGTGCTAAATCAGGGGGTGCTTCATTTATTTACAAATAACAACAAATAATGACTTATTCATACATAAAATATGGAGCGTAAAATAACAAAACGTGTTAACACGTTATGACTGTGAATATGAAAAAAGTCAAAGTCTCTAGTTATTTAACTTCAACTGAAAATAACATCTTTATCTGCTCGAGATCGCATTGCGTTTTTATTCATTTGACACATTCTAATGAAGTTTATATAATTAGTAAAAAAGGAAACTACACGCAGATCTAGAAAGCTTAATGAATATAAATACCAATGTTTTTTTATTGTTATTAAGCTGCCTTTGCGAGTATCAAAACCCTAGTTTTAGCGTTGTAACACCTCAGATTTACCGCTGAGCCACCGGGGTAGGGGTTGTAATCGAACTAAACAGAATAAGTAATGCTTCAAAAACAGGTCCATCCCCTAAACATCTTCTTCATGAGATTGTGGCCCTCTGGTGACAGTGTGAAATTTCACAAATTGTTGTTAATGTAATGTTGGTGGTCTATCATAGCCCAATCAAATTAAAAAAATATATAAATGAAATTAAATAGAAGTGTAAAGTTCTTACCTGTGTTTCGACATTCTTATTTTAAAACAAAGAACGTTATTGTTTATTTTTTAACATCTTATTCAAAAGAAAGTTTATGACTACGCTTGATTGTTTTTCTAAATAGTCAAACAGGGAATTCACGACTGGAGTTCTCTTTAAAACATTATTTTATAGCCAGTCGTTTAGCTTAGGTTAACCTGATAAATGAAAATACAGTTGTGATAAATAATATAACACGTATCTTGTTCAAAATCACATCATTAGTTCTGTTTTAAATTAAATATATTAATAACACCGCACTAAGCAAGCCTGCATTGTCAATTACTTTGAACCGAAGAAACTTAAATGAATTTAAAGGTTATAAAGATATTTATACCAGATATTTAATTATTGTTCTGAAAATCAGCCAAGTGTTAAAGTGCGTGCTTTCACGTGACTAAATTAGGTCCAAACCAGACAATGTTCCATACTTCATGTTTTAAATTATAACACCTTCAATCCTGTTACGTTCAATGTCAAGTTTTAAGCAGTGTCTTTATGCAATTTGATTTTATCTTCGAGATTGAAAAACTCAATTTTTAGCTTTGTTTAAATTGTAGGTCTAAAGGAGATATGTAACCCGCGACAAAATTGAGGTTCTGTGTTGATAATATCAAGATAACTAAAATTGTTTTTTGGAATTTCATATCTGGATGATACAGTGAAACACCCGAACTTTTCTCATTATGAAGTATGTAATTATATCAAGGTATATTTTTTAAATAGTAACAAATTACTGAGTTTTCAACCTACGATACTAACAAAGCTATATTTATAACTTCATCTTCGAAATGATATCAAAGTTTTTAGGCAAACATCATTGCCTGAAATTATTTCGTTTATATTGATAGGTATATAAATGTTTGATAGGTTTTTAATTCTATTTTAATTATTTTAATTTAGTGTCGATCTAGCTCCTTTGACACCAAGAATTTTGGGACTAATTCAAATAATGGAACACAAAATACTTTTGTTAGCACAATGGCGGTTCCGCTCTTTGAAGATGACTCTAGATTGAGTAGGATGCACGTACCGCCCATCGTTAAATGCGAGGTAAGGTTTCGTATACAAAATACGTAAAATTCTGTCTGCTTGCATGGCGTGATAAGAAATATGGGTTACTTACAGGTTATCGTGATAGCATAGGCTCTGGTTTAGAAACGAGTGATTCAAATAAAATATTTCAAGAACACACAACAAACTTTTTGAACAGTGCCAGATAACCAAACGCAAGGCTCCAAGTAACAGGGTAATCACGTCATTATATAGTCCACCGTGCTAGCGGGAAGTGTATGGGGACCTGTTCCCCTAATTCTTTTCTAATCAAGGCTTAAATTATGTGACCAATTGATATTTTAAAGGATTAAATAACATATATTTCGTTACAATTTTGCGACAGATAAAAATAACATTTTAATTTTAAATATCATTTTTAACTCACGGGCACATCGTTACTTGAGCAGCCTTTGTTGCAAATTAAAACACTTGTTTTTATTTGTTTGGAATAGAGCGAATTCTCAAGCAATTGCTTGCCATTTTTATTATTTAGGTAAGTATTGTTTTTGAAATCTGTAAAAAAGTTATTTTTAGTATAGTTTTTCTCATTATTTAAAGAAAATTTACTTACTTACAGCATTTTCTACTGGATAACATCTAACTTTATGCAAGTGAAATTTATTTTATTTATTCGCTGCTGCTGCTATTGACACGTCAGCATTTTGATATTATTCATAGCCCTCTTATTCAGTAAAAATAGCATTAGTGTCAGAGACTGATACAAGGTGGATAATATCATTTTAATAAACAGTTACTACAGGTGTGAATTTCTGGAAAATATCATTTCAATAAATAGTTTCTACAGGTGTGCATTTCTCGAAAACATCCTTTTAATGAACAGTTACTACAGGTGTGAATTTCTGGAAAATATCATTTTAATAAACAGTTACTACAAGTGTGAATTTCTGGAAAATATCCTTTTAATAAACAGTTACTACAAGTGTGAATTTCTGGAAAATGTCCTTTTAATAAGCAGGTACTACAGGTGTGAATTTCTGAAAAATATCCTTTTAATAAGCAGGTACTACAGGTGTGAATTTCTAGAAAATGTCCTTTTAATAAGCAGGTATTACAGGAGTGAATTTCTGGAAAATGTCCTTTTAATAAGCAGGTATTACAGGAGTGAATTTCTGGAAAATGTCCTTTTAATAAGCAGGTACTATAGGTGTGAATTTCTGGAAAATGTCCTTTTGATAAGCAGGTACTACAGGTATGAATTTCTGGAAAATGTCCTTTTAATAAGCAGGTACTACAGGTGTGAAATTCTAGAAAATGTCATTTTAATATCAATTCACCAACATACATACAATTATTGTATACTACTACTCACAACCATGATGACAGAGTTAGTACAAAAATCACCACAACAATTCAAGTAGACTTCATTCAAAAGGCCCCCAGTGGCACAGCGGTATGTCTGCGGACTTACAACGCTAGAAACCGGGTTTCGATACTCGTGGTGGGCAGAGCACAGATAGGCCATTGTGTAGTTTTGTGCTTAACTTCAAAGAATAACAATATCATTCAAAAGGCCCAGAATTTTGATCACTTTCGGACATTTGGTTACTCCCCACAGTTTAGCCAATTTGTTTGTTTGCCGTTTGACCTTCTCATTTTCCATATAGGCCCATATAGACTTAATAATATTCTTATCATCAGAATCTTGCGCTGGCTAAGCCATGGTTGCAATTGTTTCATCGGCCTCATTTCCCTCTAAGGTATCAATTCGCCACATTGTCTACGTGCTTGTTGGAAGATGAATCCCTGCCAAACAGATCTTGTCCCTGAGGAAATAACATGATGAAAAAAAAATGATTTAATCTGTCAGCAGTTATGGTGTCATCAATTGGCTGAGATGCGGCTCACACTTGCACTAGTCCATTCAGAACTCTTCATTCTAGATGTTTTATATTGGCCGCGACACTGTCCTTCTCTCTGCTATCGAACAAACTGTCACTGATTGTTTCCATATGATCTAAATTTGGATTCCTCTATAAAATACACCTTCCTCTAGCGTTATTCATCCCATTATTTGAAGTCTGATGCCCATTTCAACTTTTTTGATTACTTCTCCTATGCGTGGTTTCTGAGCAGCCATTGAGGTCACTTTGTGTATCTTAGATTTCTGGAGGTAGCATTCACACCTGTGCTTACAGCCAGGTTAATGGAAAGATTTCTACTAGGTTGTAGTGCATCACATAAAGAGCGTGGTATTTTTATGTGGACAACTTATATTATCAGCAGTACTAATTTCATGTACCATATCCAGTAGCCTTCATTAGCCAAAACTCTGATTTCCACACAATTTTCATGTCGTGTTTTTCTGCTTGGAACCAGTGGTGTAATCAAGACAAGGCCTGGCCAAGCATGTACCCAACCAATGGTTGAGCAAACAATGATACATTTTCGACCTATAAAGAAACTGAAGCGCAAAAAAAAACAACAAAAAAAAACTAGTTTGTTGCAGTATGGGTGATACGAAATATGAAGAAGGTGAATAGATAATCAACGAGCTAACGGTTTTGTTTGTTAGAAGTTAAGCACAAAGCTACACAATGGGCTATCTGTACTCTGCCTACCACGGTATCGAAACCCGATTTCTAGCATTGTATGTCCTCAGACATACCGCTGTGCCACAGGGGGGGGGGGGGCAACGAGCTGACGGAATAATGCATTAGTATGTTATTACGCATATAATGTAGTTTGTAAGATTAAATGCTCATCATGCGAAGAACGGGTAACCTGGTGGCTAGTTACTTATAAAATACTGTTGTTTTTGATGTAATTACATACAATGGAATGTCAGAACATTATACATTTCTTTAGCCACAGACCCATGCAGGTTCTTTATACATACAAAATGACTAAACCAAAGTGTTGTCTTCAATGTGAGTATTCCTTGGTGGTGCCTACGAAATTTTAAATATTTGTCTACATCGTGTTGGGAGCCATGAGTTCATTCACCACACTACTACTGGGAATAGTGTGACTGTCTGTTGCATTATGCTGCTACGGCACTGTCTGGTTGATTAGATGACAACCAATAAGAGCGTAAGCTATTAAAATATGAATGCACTCTGGTGTAGTTAATTTTCAGCATAATAAATGGGGAGCAATCCCATAATATTTGCATTTTGTTACCAATTTATTTGGATAGATGGATATTCAATGTCAATATGCTGATGTAAACATTTCAGGTTCTAGTAATAAATATACGTAATAGATCAAAACACTTTTTAACTAAAGAAGAGTTGGAGCTCATTAAGCTCTTAACAAAATATTTATTACTCACGTTGATTAAATGTAGTTATTATCCATATCTTACGTCGTTTACAGTGTAATGGAGTAGAAGGTTATGCTTTGATCAACACAGGAGCAATGGCAACAACGATATCAATGAACATGGTGAAAAAATTAAGGTTAGTACCTAGGCAATTTTTCATAATACGGAATCCATTAGTTTTAGTGTTAAAATTTCAACATATAACTTCTTTTAACACGTATGTTAATTACACGTAAAACTAATAAAAAGGAATATTTTGTTTGTTGTTAAGCTCAAAGCTTTACAATGGGCTATCTGAACTGTGCCTGACTTAGGGATCGGACACCAAATTTTAGCTTTATAATAAACGTCAAATTTTCTGGATAGCTTCTGACTGAGAACAGTTTAATGAATGCAACTAATAAGATGTATTGACTTAGATTAGTCAACCGTTAAGTTTGGATTTTATAGAGAAATCTTCAGAATGTGCTAAAGCAGAAATTAAATGAGTCGCCTATCATTCACAAAATGTAAATACACAATTACAGTACTGTATGATATCCGTGGAAGGTTTATGTTAGAATATATTGTTGCCAAAAATCAAGTGGAATATATAAGATACGATAACATTTTCTTGCGTGGCGTGTGACGGTCTAAAATGAACAAGCCGCTACAATCAGAGTTCAACAACAAAAATACAATTTATTCCCAATAACAACACTTAGAAATTAATTCAACACACTTAATAAACAAATGCCCGACCGACCAGGACTTCACATCAATATGAATAGATAATTTATCATAAATATTGATAAATCGATAACAATAGAACCAGGAAAAAGAACCAAAAAGAAAAATACTAACCCCCCCCTCCCAAAACAAAAAAAAATTACAGCAATTACAATATTCAAACAATACCTTTCAAGATCAATAATAGCATCAATAACAATATCGAGTTACAAACAGCAGTAACCATACCTTTCAATAACTATCTCGTAACTCTATCTGTTTTAGTGAAGCTTCTGGCAGGGTATATATATTTATTCGCAGAGTAGGTCACGAGAGTATAACCTCATGTGATCATAAATGTACATACTCTTCTGCTACATTATTAGTATTTGTGCGTCACCGCTAGGGAAGCTGGAGTCAATTTCATCATGTATTTGTTGGTTTGAAGTTAAGCACAAAGCTACACAATGGGTATCGAAACCCGGTTTCTAGCGTTGTAAGTCCGCAGACCTATGTCATCCATCTTTATTTTTCCGCCTCATTACACTATTTCTGTTTGATTGATATGAACAGTTATAGATAATTTCTAGATGCTGTGAAGAGTTGTATGAAGCAATTATTATGTTTTGAACGAAATGGACAAATTTTAAAGTACTGGTATTATACTTAAACTGAGAAAATTCGAATTCTCGATCCCAATATTTTGGCTACGCTATTTAATACAAAAGTATTAGAGGGATTCGAACCCCCGACCTTCAGATTGTAATTCGAGCACGCTGATCGCCAGACCACGAATGCAGTTGTTAGAAAAAGTCGTATTAGAAATGTTTAATTCGGTGTTAAAGCTCAAAACACTGAAACGCCCGTAATCTACTAACATCATTTGATAGATAGCGCTTGTTTAAAATGTAAATTATGAACATTTCTTACATTAACAGGCAAACAGATCAGATAGTCCATGATGCCTCCGCTATTTTGAATCCACTGGGGCTCCCTCTTCCAGAGTTCAAGGGAAAAGTTAAGTATGTGGATTTAACACTAGGACGTTGGCACCAGGTGTCTCAGTTCTTTGTAGGTAAGGCCATTTTCTAAGTTTTAGTTTATGGTTTGATTGTAAGTATATATAAACCAGTTTTTAGTTATTTGGCAGTAAACGTCTCTGTGTTTGTATGATCAACAACTGTGCATATTTAACTAAGGTTGATAATAACTTATTACTTATTCATTGCTAGTTCAATACTA